TGGAACATAATCCTCTACTTCAAGTTTGACTTTGGTTCCATCTGGTTTCTTGAAGTATGGCCTACTGTAAGCGGGCCAATGGAAGCTCCATCCTGCGTCGATGCAGCGTTGTCCTACCGATACGACGGCTGGGCTATCTTCCAAGACGTACGGATTGATGTCAGCTCCCAACACGGGGACATTGACTCTGGCTTGGTCAGTGGCTTGAAAGACTCCGTTGGCAGTAAGAAGATTGACCGGTTTGGACGACTGAGACACTTCATCCGAATGTAGCATGTGCCTAGACACAAGATCGTGCACGCTCCCAGTGTCAGCGATCCATGCAATCTCAGTGGCAGGCACTGTTGGACATGACCTCTTCTCAAAACACTTGATGCAACCTATATCGGAGTTGCACAGGTACGAACATTCCGCCGGCAAGGACAAAAGCTCGTTCCTAACAGCATTCTGAAGGTGTGAGGCTGCAATGGATGCGTCTTCAGTAGCGACACGAACTGCCTCAGCATGCTCCGGTCGACCTGGTGTAAAGGATCTTCGTTTCTTCTTACTTCGGGGTTGAACGGATCTCGTGATGAGGACGGAGGATCCCTGAGAGACCACTGCGGCCATGACCACTGCTCGAAGGAGGCATACCGCTGCCGGTGCATTGGAAGAAGAAGACTTCCCACCTTTTCTCCTCTGACTCTCGGAGCCAGTTGAGTTGTCCGAGCCTGATGATCCTCGTGAGCTGCTTCGCTTGCGAGGCTTCTTATCTTTCTTCTTCTTCTTCTTTTTGTCCTCTTTCTTCGCAGGGACAGTCTTTTCAGGGTGTTGGAATGCACAGTCTTTTCCTCGATGGCAATGTCCTGCCTTCCAAAACTTGCAAGTTTCCTTGCGAGATCCTGGTGTCAGTGATCTTGATCGAGATTGGCTGCGATCCTTACCCTTTCCCTTTCCTTTGCTTTTCTCGCGGCCTTTTTCGTGCTTGTAAGGACATGATGATCCGCGCTTGCATTTTCCGGTCTTTTGAAATTCGTAGCAGATGCCTTTCTTCTCTTCCGGAGCTGGCATGGTTGTGTCTTTGGACCCGCTCCTGGTCTTGCTACTAGGAGCAAGGACGCCACTACAGGCTCCTGGTCTTGCTACGAGGAGCAAGGACGCCACTACAGGCTCCTGGTCTTGCTACGAGGAGCAAGGACGCCACTACAGGCTCCTGGCATCGCTACGAGGAGCAAGGACGCCACTACAGGCTCCTGGTCTTGCTACGAGGAGCAAGGACGCTTCGTGGCGTCGCGCATCTTTTCCAACCTTCTCCGTTCGAGGTAGGCCCGGGCAGCAGTGATCAGGAAGTCGTACGTTCTTTCTTTGCTTCCATCGGCTGCACGGTCGTACAAGGCCAAGTCATGCTCAAGTGGCTTGAAACGTTTCACTGCCAGGTGGAAATAGGCTTCCAGAACACTATTTTCTGGTTCCTTTTTCATTCCGGCAAGAACGCTATCCCATTTATTTGTAAAGCCCTTGAGGTCATCGTTGACCATCTTGACGGACATGAGGTCTTCGAGTCCGTAGATTGCTCCATGCTTAATGCTTGTGGCAAAATACTCGTGGAACCGAAGGAGCAAGTGTCTACCCTTCACGTTCTTGTCTTCACGAGCACGCAGCTCCTTGAATGTAGCAATCTGCCGACCGAGGTCCCCCTCAGCGCAATTGGTCAAGCTTGCAAGAAGCTTTGCGTCGAGGGTTGCGAATCCCTCTGAATCATCCAAGGCATCAATGGTTTGGGAATCCTTGTATACTTTCCCAACCCATGACCTCGCTTCATCCGGCTTTGCTGAAGCTGCAGCAATGTTGTCCCTCACCTTGATCTTCCAGTCTCTGTACTTCTCAGGTGTGGGGAACTTAGGAATGAGAATTTTATCAGCCTCTTTGGCTTTACTCTCATGATCCTTGTCTTTCGACTTTCTTTGCTGCTTCTTCAGCTCCTTGCGGATGATGCGTGCAAGACGCGATGATTCAGAACTTGAGTCATTGGAGTTATCACTCCCTCCTGATGAACTGGGTGACGAAGGTGATGGGGAAGGAGAGCGTTTCTTTCTGCGCTCCCTAGAGCGGCCCCTTTTTGGGCTCTTCTCTTTCTTCCTCTCTTTACTTTTCTTCTTCTTGTCTTTCTTTGATTTGTTACCACCCTCTTCATCAGCATCGGATGGATGAGGCTCTTCACCGCCTTCGATCCCGGGCTTCTCCAACTGAGTACGAAGGCTCGCCGGAGGCAAAGCTGGGGATACCTGAGACCCAAGTGGCTGCATTGATGGTGCAGGCACTCGGTTCCCCGAGGCGTTGTCAAACCTCTCTCTCAACTCCTTGATTATTCGACTCTGTTCAGCTAACTCCGACCGAAGTGCATCCTCTCTTTGCTTGGCAGAGGCGCGTTCGTTCTCAACGACGGCGTGTCGTTCGAGCGAAAGGCGATCTAGGTAAGCCCGTTGTTCATGAAGATGTTGATTTAGGTGGGCTTGGTTCATGTCACTCAATCGTTGATTGGCTAAAGCCTCAATGTGTTCCCTAGACTCCTGGACAGCCACTTTAGCTTGGTTCTCCACTAAGTCTCTAAAATGCCTTGCATCCTCTGCTACTTGTTGCCCACGCTCGGCCAAAATGGCCTGATGCCGCAGTTCCGCGATCTGAGCTACCTGAGCTGACCTATCCTCATTGACGAAGACGGCTTGTTGATGAATCTGTCTTGCATCAACGTTCTGGACATTCATCACAGGAGAAAACTCAGGTTGAAACGGCGACGGGGCTTGAACACTAGGCAACAGGTCCCCCTGTGCACTGAACGTCGGTGGCCCAATTGGCACACGCAACTCCAGCGGAACGACAGGGAGCTCAGGAGCAGGTGAACTGGACATCGCAGGCGAAGTAGGAACATAGCCTGAACGTGAGCGGTCACCACGGGAACTATCATCATCAGCCATGGCCTCTAGATAGTGCACTACCTATGGTGGGGTGAGACCACAGCTAGTAGAAAGCACGTACCGCACTTTTGGCGATACGGCTGATAACCTGTAGTTACAGGTAAACGACCGAGAACTACCAACAAGTCGCACCTGGTTTTCCTTGAGCCAAACGGTAAGTAAGTGAGACATGTATTAGTTATCCTAGCGTGAAACAACAGGTTCTGACGAACCTTTGCCCTTCTGGAAGTTGGCCAATGCCGAAGAAGAACTCGATGGTGGAGTGGCTTCTTCTTTTTTGACCCCACCATTGTGAGGATGATGCTGCACCATCATCATCATCATCATCATCATCACCATCCTCATCATCATCTTTCTGCCAACGGCCACGTTGCCACTGGGGCCACTCGTCAGCTGTCCATCATTGCTCAGACCCACCATGCTCTGATTGCGGAAGTTCCTCACAGACTTCACAGTCATTGGGATTTTCCTGGCGTTGTCCAGCTCTACCGGGACTTGTCTTTTGCAGAATTTCCGGAAACACTGCTGGCGCATCTTGTCGGGCTTGAGGTGTAGTCCTGTCTGACCTGTGGGCTGGCCTTGGAGATGAAGCGCTAGGTCTGCGACTGTTGGACTCTGCTGCTGCAACTGAACCTGGGTTGCTCTGCTGTCTCTGACGGGCCACTGCCGTCTGCAAGCGTCTGCACGACTCCCTGAGCGATGTGGCCCACTCTGTCATGGAAGCACCGGTTGTCGACAAAGTCTCATGAAAAACTCTTCCAATTGGAACTGGGGTCTTGCAAACCCATTCTTCTAGGAAGCTCAACAGGTAAGCCGCTCCGTCCGACCTTTTTTGAAGTCGGCTGTGAACAACTTCGGCTGAGGTGATATCCCAAGCCTTTTTCGTGAGGCGGCTTGCCAGCTGCCAACTGCACGCCTGAGAGACCGCGTTCCTTCGGCTCCGTTCGTTCATTTGAAGTCTAACCCGTTTGACGACGCGTCTCCGTCGCATGTTGCGATGTGATCCTTTCTCTCAACTGTCGTCACTGAATGAGGCAATGCACCAAAGCACCGTGCACACAATGTAAACAAATTCCGGTGGTCCAAAATTGGATCTGGTCCCAACTCTGGACCGTGCAACGCCAACTGAAAAGGTCGATGTTCAACACCTCTCCAAGATCACCCAGCTACCAATCTCAGTAGGGAGCCTCTGGACGAGGCTCCGCTACCAGTACTGGTAGTGAGGCAGCCAACACAAGACACAAAAGCGGGGCTGACATGATATGCAATGAAGGCAATGCACAAACCTGTAGTACAATGTATGGAACCTGCAACAACGGGGAACCACGATCCCCCCAACAGGTGCACCACACACCCAATGTTTCACCACATAGCGCTCTGGTCGACCATTGGTCAAAGCATTAGGCAAAAGGATGTCCTATGGATTTTGCGCCAGGAATGCATCGGGAGGACAACACGTCAGGTAACCGAACCGTTCAGGCTCGTTTTCCAAGAGTTTGTGCAAACTTTCTGTTCGGGGTAGGAAGATAGAAAGGTTTGGACCGGGGTGAAATAACTCTGGAGTTAATCCTTCCGCGCAAAGCTAGGAAATACGAAGTGAAGGGAGCATACAACTGCAATGAAATGAATTAATCTAAAGAGAGTTCCTGCATGGACCAAAACATATTACAAATCAAAATGAAAAGAGAAATCAAGGGTTAATTACTTTAAACTCTGGAAATTTTGCCTTTTCCGCGAAGCATGGTGAAGTGCTGAAGCTTATTGGATTCCTGCCTTTCATGTTTCTAGAATCTGCTGGATATCTTACTCTGCCGGACGCACACAACCCTGAGTCTGCTCAATTAAGGCGAGCCAAATCATCCTGCTTGACATTGCAAACAATCAGCAGAAATCCCAAAAAATTGACAGTTACATGTGGGGCCACTTTACAGCACCTTCAGTTGCAGCGCAAAACACGTATATAACCGAAACGCACTGATGGCTCATGCCGGGCTTGTGTTGCACCTGACTTGCCTTTGGGCGACTGCTGGGCCACTGCTGTCTGTCCTCATGACCTTCATGTACTGGGTTGAAGGACCCTGGCCTCAGTTGCAAGTCCAAACCCCACTGTGACCGTCATGAAGGCTCATCCAAGTGATTCCAAGTGCCATACAGCAGCAGGGTGTTGGGAGGAATTTCCGGGGCTGGAAGACCTTGAAACAACTCAAACTCTTACCGAACAGGATCTGCTTGGAGAGTTTCCTTCTGAATTCCTTTGACCCTCTTTCCCAGCGGCATCAATGTGATGCATGATTCCTGTCCACTCAAGACTCCCTCCACATCCTTTTCAGAGCGAAGGGCATTGAACATCGCAAGCGCATGACAGCGCACAAATAGATCTAGCCCAGCCAACCTGCCCTTGGTGAAACAGTGCCAGCTGCTTTGGCGGCATAGCGGCCTTAGTTACGCTTAGGCTCAGATTGTGTGCCTGGCTCGGGTCAGAACACCTGGAAACCTTGTGCCTTGACCCTGCATGGTGTGATGTAGCAGTGCAGGGACAAGCAGTGCAGGGAAACTGACCAAGCAGCGGCCAATCACCCGCGGATCCTTTCTCCCGTGGCTCGGATCAATCTGCTGAGCAGCTAAAACTGCGAGGTGAAACTGTTGAAATCACAGGGCTAGCCGCCAACCGACAGCCTGACCAAATTTTGGACAATCTAGATGGAGCGCTTAGCTCCACGCGACAAAATCAAGTGTACACCTTTCCACTAAACTTTTTCTGCGCAACAGCCACACTCTCTTCGCGACATATCGGACATCGCACTTTTGTGCGTTCCAACTCTTTGTTAGAGAGTTGTTGGGGCTTGACACTTTTCCACTGTGTTTTGCCTGACTCCTTTAGCTCCTTTGCCACTGCTTTGCGCCTACAGCCCGGACAAAAAATTAGGTGGCCGCATTCATGCATGACAAAAAGAGCAGACTTTTCGATGCAAACCACGCAGATTCCTTCCAGTTGCTCCACTTCTGAAACATCCCCATCAGCCGCTCCACCTGCGTCGGCGTCGCTTCGGGAGCCTCTCTCTGCATGCTCCATAGAGCGGTCAGAGCGGTCAGGCCTTGCTGGCCTTGAACTCCCGGCTGAAGCCTCACCTACGCCAGCTTCCCCAGCTGCTTGGGTCTGCTCTTGCGCGCCGTGCGTGCTACGGCCGGCAAGTCCAGCATCGCTACTTTCAGGGCAACTGCCATCCACCCTGTCAGTCTTCCGATGCGCATTCACCCCAGCTCTTGGAGCAGCTTCGGGTGGCAAAACAAACATGGGAAACTGCCCTTTGTATTCTGGCACTCGGGCAGCATCCTCTGGATCATAGTATTCTGCCAAGTTTGTGATTCGCCACATCTTGTGCGCTTGCAGCTCCTCGGTAAAGTGACTGGAGCGAAAAGAACGGACTATCCGGTTGTAGGCAGCCATTCGCAGAATCCGGTCTTTGCTGGGACGGCACTTTTGCAAGTTGATTTTCTCTTCCTTCATCCAATCCTCAAATTGGGACACCTCAGAGGGAAAAAACAAAAACATTGAAGTATGGCAGAAAGGATCAGAAAGGATTTCCCGAAGCGGGCGTAAACGACACACAAGCAACTTCACAAATCTTGAAACCGAAAGCTTAGATGCAAGGAACCTGATAGATGCAAAGCCGCTTACGCTGACACAAGTCTCTCATCACATTGTACGCTAACTCCGTGTGCTGGATGTTCTCCATCTCTTCTGGGGTCATGTCTAAAGGCATAACTGCATCTGGCTGCAGCGGCTCGTACACTCCAAGCTGCGGAGGTCTTGGCAAAGCTGTTGACTCTTCATTCCTTGCTTCCCCCCCAAGAAGCGCTGTCACCACCATTTTATAGCGATAAATGGGAACCGCAAGAACGCAACAAAATCCGAAATGAATGCTTGAATTTCACACTCGAGCAGCTGACATCCAATCGAAGTCACAAGCTCAGGCCGAATGCTCTTTTGTGCTTCTCTTTCGGCAACTGCATCGCTCACTCGGTCAATAACTTTTGCAAACAAACGAACCATCAAGGTATAAGCCTTAGCAGCGTGCTGCGCTTCCTCCACAGCCTCCAACTCAGACCTTAGAAGTTCTTTCGATTTGAGAAGCTCATCCGGCTGCTTGCTGGAGCCCGCAATGCGCTTAGCAATGGCAAGCCGTTTGTTCGCAGTGTGGTATTGCTGCTCGACCTTTGCCCACAGGCAACTGCACGGAAGAGTGCTACTCTAAACGCCGGCTTAGATTCAAGTGGATTCGGTTGGAAAGGTGCAGAAGCATGACATTACTTGGCCACGCAAGAAGCCACTAGGGACATTAAGCAACATGGAAGCTGGCTCGGCACGAGGAATATGAATAATCTGCAGCACCTAACCTAGAGACATCATCTTCAGCCATAAGCAATCTTTGAGAAGTTTTACAAGTTTATGATCTACCTGTATTGGTTGCTTTGGAACGAGTGTTTCGGACTTGTGAGGCCGGGCGAGGGTTCGGACACAAAACAAGATTAGGCCGAAAGCGCCTGGAAAAAAACGTGTGGTACATCATTATATATATATATATGTATATACATTAGCTAAAATCACTACATCGTAAATAGGTTTTGAACATATTTTGCTGTCGTGGTGAACATGTTGATTCGTACGTGGTGCGAGCAAGCGAGCGTGCGTATGTGCTAGTGATGGGCGAGCGAGCGAGCGAGCGTGCGTGCGAGCGTGCGTCCGTGCGTGCATGCGTGCGTGCGTGTGTGCGTGTGTGCGGTTGTTTTGCTGTCATTGATGATTCCCGATGAATTGGTGAGCAAACCATGGTAAAACAGAATTTTTGCTGCTTTTGATCACAACAGCCTTTGTTCACATGACACCCTAGGGCATGCGGCATGGCATGGTTGATTGTTTGTCTTCTGAACCTTGAAGGTTACACCGTTCAAATTTGGATACAACAAGAGTATTGAGTCGGAAGCACCCACATGGGATCCACAGGACTACATGGATATCCACACGCATAGACACGCATGTTCATACGTTCGTTCATGTGCATGCACATGTTCATATGCATGTTCATTTTGGCATGTTTATTTTTGAGCATTTTCAGGTTTATTTTCGATCATCCCTTCTTTGTTAGTAAGGATGTGACAAAATAAGCCACATTTTTCCGGCTTACTTTTGAACATCCGAAAGTGAACATGGCAGTGAACATGTTCACGCTCCATGTGCGGGCATATGTACTTGGGAGTGAGCGCGTGTGTGCGCGTACTGTGCCTTGTGAGTGCTCGTGTGTGGTGCGTTCAAAGGCATATGCAACTAGGGCATTGAACACAGCCAGCTCACTTGCACAACCAGGCACGGCTTCATACCGTTTACTCCACCCCACATGTCTCACAGCTGCTCGGTGAATTCTGAATCGCCCGCATTTCAGCAGGTCCCACTATCGCCACAGCTCAAGCGTTCTTGAGTCAAATTTTTGGGGGTCTTAAAAGAATATAGATGGAGCTGGTGAGGTGGAAACCTGAGAAGCTGCAAAACGAAAGCCAGCGCTTCCCTTTCTCGACAACTGCGCGTCGAAGCAATCAAATGAGCTCGCGCAGCCGCTTGCGGCCGCGTGTCAAATCTGCTTCATGTCTTGTTCTGCCCACACATAGGTAACCATGCAAAAGCAAAAAATGCACTCTCGCATCACCACCCGCTCCAAAATCACTAGAACATCACCTCCAAGAGTTTACGTATACCTTTCTCGGGCCACCCCCCCTGACCCCCGACCGACTTCACACATAGATAATTCCCATCCACATTCAGATGAAGCAAAAGCCAAACAATGCACCCAAATTCGAGGTGGCCTGGGACCAGAGGCTCGCTGCCCGAAACTATATGTTCAGGCCACCTCAAAAATTCAGATACGCGAAGCAAGGGTCCTGAGATGTCTCTGTGACAAGGCTTTTGTTAAAACAGTCAGTTTTTCAAGCTAAATTCAAGGTGGCCTGAGACCAGGGTTTGCTACCCTAAAACACTCTGTTCAGGCCACCTTTAAAAACCAGGTCTGCGAAGCGAGAGCAGAGGATGCACATTGTCCTTCTGCTGCTTGAATGTGGCCTTTTGTTTACTTAAAAGTTCAAGACCTCCCAGCTGTTTCCACCTCTTCGCTTCCCGCGCGTCACCACCCGCTCCAAAAGCATCAAAGCATCACCCCCCAGAGTTTACGTATATCTTTCTCGAGCCACACATGCACAGCAAACCACAGCTTTGAAGTCTCATTCGTGCTTTGAACTTGTATAGGTGTGTAAGAGGTTTGGCAACATAGCATTCATACGGGCCCAGGGTAGCTACAATTCTGTTCCCAGGTATCGTGCGCATGAGGCTTCAAAGCTGTGGTTTTCAAGCTAAATTCAAGGTGGCCTGAGACCAGGGTTTGCTGCCCTAAAACACTCTGTTCAGGCCACCTTAAAAATGAAGGTCTGCGAAGCGAGAGCAAAGGATGCACATTGTGGGTTCATATAGGAGCCAGGCCATTTTCAGAATCTTCTGGATTTGAGCTGTTCGAGTGCGTCACCACCCGCTCCAAAAGCATCAAAGCATCACCCCCCAGAGTTTACGTATATCTTTCTCGAGCCACACATGCACAGCAAACCACAGCTTTGAAGTCTCATTCGTGCTTTGAACTTGTATAGGTGTGTAAGAGGTATAGCAACATAGCATTCATACGGACCAGGGTAGCTACAATTCTGTTCCCAGGTATCGCGCGCATGAAGCTTCAAAGCTGTGGTTTTCAAGCTAACTTCAAGGTGGCCTGAGACCAGGGTTTGCTGCCTTAAAACACTCTGTTCAGGCCACCTTGAAAATGAAGGTCTGCGAAGCGAGAGCAAAGGACTTTCCACCTCCTCGCTTCCCAGTCTTCCCAGGGTTCATATAGGGAGCCAGGCCATTTTCAGAATCTTCTGGACTTCTGGATTTGAGCTGTTCGAGTTCCTATTGAAGGGTATATGTTCTCGTTGGCGAGTGCGTCACCACCCGCTCCAAAAGCATCAAAGCATCACCTTCCAGAGTTTACGTATATCTTTCTCGAGCCACACATGCACAGCAAACCACAGCTATGATGTCTCATTCGCGCTTTGAACTGGTATAGGTGTGTAAGAGGTATAGCAACATAGCATTCATACGGACCCACGGTAGCTA